TAAGGACGACAGTAATTAAATGACAGAGAAAAAGCAGGCAGGACGACAGATTAAGACGACGTCAACAGACAACATGCACGCCTACATATACTGATTTACCTGAACAAGTAGGCAATGACTGTAGACAAAGACAAATGTATAGTACAAAGCACAAAGCAGTCGACTCATTTTTGACACAAATGGAACCTCATACCTAGTGGCAGACATAAATATCATATTAGTGTCTGTCAGTCGAGCTAAATGCGTTCTGCCAGTAGATGGCGATGTTGTCTTCAATTCCTTTGCAACGCACTTGCTTTGATCCACTGAAGCCCAATATAAAGAGGAAACCGGGGCTAGTTGTCACACACTCCCTGAAATATTTCTCACGGTAGGTTTGTTTTGCTCATTTCTATTTCTGTATAGACACAAACCTGGAATTCTTGGCTACAAAAAAAAAAAAAAAAAAAAAATTATAAATAAAAGGTTATTGAACACTTCCGTGGTTATGGAATATATAGTATAAAGTATACAGTTCAATGAACACACATTACATATCATTACTGTCAGCAGGGCTTGTTGTCACATTATTTGGGGTATGTTGTCACAATGTAACTTACTTTTAATTCACCTATTATAAGCTTTTTAGCAAAATTTCAACAGTAAAACAATTATGAAATGCAATTTATGAAACCGCAAAAGGTAAACGGTAATGTACAAAAATCTAAAATCATTATATTGACCAACCAATATTCTAATTGATTCGGTACGTTTACGAATTATGAAAAAAAAAAAAAAAAAAAAACTTGAATATTTTCACCGTTGTTGCCCAAAATGAAATATACAGTTAATTGAGCACACTTTTTGTGTTGGGTGGCATGATGTCACGGGGTAAATTGTCACAATTGGCACCTACAGCAGTCAGTTCAGGTTTATATTGTATGTGTAGGTCTACATTTCTCGTGAGAAGATTAAGCCAGAATACATCTTCACTTGTTTTGTTGCAATTATCATAACTAAAAACAATTAACTCTTCGAGAATAAAAAAAAACTGGTCATCTGTGTTAATTCAAATGAGCAAAAACCCTTCAGTGCTCTTGAGTGAAATGTATTCCTATGGATTCTGGCATCAGCATTTGTGCTCAGCAGGCCGTGTGCACTGATGAAATCCTGCTTGTCTGGATCTGCTGTCACTCCACATTCATTCATGTGATTTCATTCATTCATTCAGTCATGTGAAATCCTGTACACGCCTTCAATTACAGTAAATATGTCAGGGGCAAAGTGTGACTAGGATAACTTAATATGAGTCACAGGCAGCTGAACCTTTCTTCAGTTTTATTTTAAACTCAAAAAGCATATGGTCAACATTTTTATCACATTAGTTTTCTCTGAAATCATCAGGAATACAATCAAATGGCAGTTGCATCACACATGTAAATGTTGTGTTTTTGACACTAGACACAATTGCTTGATATTTTTATTTTATACATTTATTTTAGTTTCGTTCTAATTTAGGTCAGTTATGTCTAAGTCATTGCATTTGCCTTTGAACCATTTCAAGCTCTTTTTGTTTTTACACAAACGTATTCTAAGAATGTTTATTACTAGCAAAACTTATGTCAAGAATACTTATATTCTTAAAACTTAAATTATTTAAATTGTTATTTTGATTACTCTTTAGGTATATCCACATCAAAAGTTTGTCATGTTTCATATTATTTTTGAAAGAAATGTATACTTTTATTTAAGCAAGGACACGCTGAGTTGATCAAATGTGACAGTAAAGACAATTATGTCTCTATTCCAAATAAAAAACTAAATATTAATTTGGGTTTTCTATTCATCAAAGAATCCTGAAAATTATTACGAATTGTTATTTTATTAAGCAGCACGACTGTTTTAAGCATTGATGATAATAATAAGAAATGTTTCTTGAGCACCAAATCCGTATTAGAATGATTATAATATTTTATGGGGGGGGTAGAAAACCGCTATTTAAATAGAAATTATATTTTAGCAATATTACGTTTTATGTTGTATTTTTGATCAAATAAATGTAGCCTTGGTCAGCATGAGAGACTTCTTTCAAAAGCATTACAAATTATTAATGACCTCAAACTTTTGAACCGTAGTGTATATAGAGAATAAGTAGGTTATATGCATAATGAGGTAGCAATAGCAAAAACACATGACACATAAATGGAGCACTAAAAAAGCACGTAATGTCACATTGTGCTCACTTCCTGCTGGACATGAAACTTTACGTGACATGACTCACTTGATTCATTATCAGTCTCCTGTGAGATACATTGAGAGCTGCTTTAGAAGAGTTAACATGAATCAGTTTCTCCACATATTCTTCCAGTCCGTCTCTGTTCAGCTGATGGAGCTCTTCCGTGATCTATTGGGTTCATCGATAAGCTGCGTGGCTGCAAATGTCACGCTCAAATCTTGTGCTGCTGCCATCTTTCTGAACGGGAAAACCTCTCTGGTAAAGCGGGTCACAAAGCACGGCATCTGTTTCTTGCCGCCCAACCGTTTCCCTCTGGATTCAAAGTTGTAGGCCACCTGGAAGTTTATTCGAGTCAGGAGTCTTGTGATCTCCAGATCCGGACCTCCTTCCTCTTCTAGCAATTTACAAAAGGTTTGAATCAACGCCGAGCCCAGAGGATGCATGAATGCACCGTAACCTATAAAACAAATGAACGTGAGTGAAGAACTGAAGGGTTTGTGACTTTACAAACTATGCAAACAATGTGATGGAGTTCATAAATCACACCTGGAGATGTGGCGTACATGACTGCTGTGTCAATAGGGATGGAAAAGAGCTCAGACATGCCGTCCTCTTCCTCTGAGAATGAAGAGTCGGCCTCCACACCTTCATCCAACCCATGCCCTCGACAAGCCTGAAGAGCAGAAAGATGGGATAATCATAAACATTCGGTTACTAGCTTTAAGAAAAATATAGTTAAAATTATGAAATAATATCAACTCAAATCAACATTTAACATCCATGCATGGACTTATTTGATGAGTAGCCATGCAATAAACAGAGGGAAACCCAAAAAAATGCTGTATATTTTGTATTTCCCTTTCATTTCCTATGGTGGTCATGTGAAAAGTAAAGTTTTTTTCAAATCATGTCCACAATTTTTTGTGTGTTCACATTACAATTGCCACAAACGTCACCATTCGGATGAATAAAAAAAAAAAAGTACAATTCAAAACGCAACATTTTTAGGCTTTAAAAGGTTGAGCAGTACCAGAGAGTCAAAGGAATTCTAAAGTGGAATGCAATATCAACACAGCCATCAATATTTGCTGAAGTACAGTATAGGATCTTATGCAAGAATAGGAGTAAAAATGCTTTGTCTGTGAGAAAGTTTTCACAAAATGTACCTGGATCAGAAAGAGTTTGCTCTTGTCTGCCATTGACGGGCCTCCAAAGTAGCTGTAGATCTCAGCCAGTTTCACAGCACGTCCATCAGCGCCAAACACAACACCCTCCTCACCATGACTGGATATGACGCCCACAAAACAGTCTTTGACCGTCTTCTGGCTCTCTGAGGATGGAGGGCATAGAATTCGTTAAAGTTAGTGATGTGTATTTAAATATAATGGACAAATTCTGCATGCGTGTCTATTAAGCTGTCATTGTTTGAGGTCACAATCTGTTTCATTCATATTGCGTATCGTGTTCAGATTTGAGTCTGTGTGACTTTTAGTCATCAACTAGTAGTTGTATTGCTCATATGATTCACTCATTCATTTCTGATGATAGCAACATCCTCAAAACCCAACACAAATCTTCATTTCTTTGTATATTAAAATAGTTATTTTAAAAGAGTTTGTGCCAGAGATAAATTGTGTTTAATAATGCTTGCTGATAAATGAGGACAGTGTTATTAACAAGCATGGGACTTTGGCACCAATAAATGACCTTATGTAACGTGTTTTTAAGAAGAAGAAAAAAAGCATTGCAGCTGTGAAACATGAAGTCTGCTTGGAAAGAAATAGATTTTTTTATTTTAATTATTAGACAATATCTTACCTGCTTTAAATGCTTCGTAGATCTCATCTTTTTCGATGTCCATTCTGATCTCCACAGAGAAGCCGAGCTTGCTGAGGATTTTGTGAAGTCTTCGAGTGTCTCTCTTCGCACCGTTCCTGTTGTTCAGACCTGCACCTGGATAGAAGTTCTCCACAGACACTATCAACGCCCTGTTCTTCATCCTCTTGTTTGCTGTCAAAGGTAATTTACAAGACATCATCTTTCCTTCTCTTCTGAGGTGTAATGCAGTCACAAACTGTGTGAGAATAAGGAGAGCCTACTTTATGAGTCTGTCTGAATGTCATATAATTGATGAGTACAGCATTTATGATTCTCATTTTTTCTGTCTGTCATGCCCTATATGGAGTTTCCTCCCAGCGTTTTCTGTGTCATCAGTCTGATCTATGCAACACTGGCAATTCCTTGACAAATCAGAAGCTTCAGCTTTAGCAGGCAATTTTCTACATTTGTAGGTGTATTTATCTTCCAACTAACCTGCAATGGTTTGTCGGTAACTGAGAATGTAAGGAAAGTGCATCGCAACAAAATGAATAGTAAAAAATTTTTAAAAGGAAAATAGATTTTCTTTCAGTAAATAATATAATTCAAATGTATTTATTAAACATCCAGACATAAATTAAAATTGTATATGATTAGTAATTTACATTATATATAATTGAATTTTTACATTAAAATAACACTACTTATTTATATATATATATATATATAGAGAGAGAGAGAGAGAGAGAGAGAGAGGGAGATTATATGTATTATATCAGATTTGCTGATCTCTGTTCATTGTGCCACATAATAGAAGTTGAATATATTAGTTTCTGCTTGCTTTACCATTTAAGAGAAATCACAAAAGCTTTCAGGGTGAAATCGCACACCTTTATTTGTACCAAGGAAGGGTGGCTATGTATGTACACAGTAGACAGACAGCATGATTTACAACTCAGCATTGTGTAAGCAACAAATTAGTTCTGCAGTCGTGTTCTTCCCACAGAAGTTGATGTTTATCAGTACCTGTTTATCCTTTATGAATGTAAAACCGTAAGCAGACTTCATGCAGATTGCTTGTTAGCATCGACGTCTGTTATTCTTGATAAAGTACTCTTGGTACAGCGCGTTCTGATCCTTCACGTCAAGCAGTTCTTCAGTTCAGTAAAATGATGCACGTCTCTCAGGTTAAGATGCTCAGAGATAAGTATTGCAGCGTCATTCTGGTAGTTCCGGTAGGTGGAGAATCACCAGATACTTTGGTGTCTTATTCACATACCAGACATTCATTTAATAAGCACATAAGCACACATACTAGTCATCACTCTACACACAGTTAAATGAAACCTGGCGTTAGTGTTTGTGACCAACAGGCCATGTTGAAATCCTGCGTGTCTGGATTGGCTGTCAACTCGCATCATATGAGCACTTGCAAAAGTACAGAGCGTGTAATAAACACTCACACCTTGAAGTACAGTAAATATACCAAGGGCAAGGTATGAATATGACGTAACCTGAGACACAGAAACCTGGGCATGACTTTAGTTTCAAATTCGATCAGGATCAGGATTATGATTACACGAGTGTTTCCCAGAAATGGCGTTTCATCATTAATATGCTGTTGCAACAGAGTTCATACAGATTGATTTTGAATTTAGTGAGACATTGAGCTTCAAGGATCGTCCAGTTTAGGTTTTATTTGAATGTCACATATAGTACAGATAAACACTTAACACTTAAATAAACACTTTCAAGATTTATATAGAAATATATTTTTTAACATTTCATTTTTTTTTCAATACTCTTTCAAATGAAACAAAAAAATGATTGTTTTACTTTAGGGAAACGCAGCACTATGAAACAAGTCGCATCCTGCACGTTTCCCAACACCTCACTTCCTATTACACGTGCGACTTTACGTGATGTTATGTTATCTCATCAAATGAGATAATGTGATATCTAACATGAATCAGTTTCTCCACATATTCTTCCAGTCCGTCTCTGTTCAGCTGATGGAGCTCTTCCGTGATCGATTGAGTTCATCGATAAGCTGCGTGGCTGCAAATGTCACGCTCAAATCTTCGGCTGCTGCCATCTTTCTGAATGGGAAAACCTCTCTGGTAAAGCGGGTCACAAAGCACAGCATCTGTTTCTTGCCGCCCAACCGTTTCCCTCTGGATTCAAAGTTGTAGGCCACCTGGAAGTTTATTCGAGTCAGGAGTCTTGTGATCTCCAGATCCGGACCTCCTTCCTCTTCTAGCAATTTACAAAAGGTTTGAATCAACGCCGAGCCCAGAGGATGCATGAATGCACCGTAACCTATAAAACAAATGAACGTGAGTGAAGAACTGAAGGGTTTGTGACTTTACAAACTATGCAAACAATGTGATGGAGTTCATAAATCACACCTGGAGATGTGGCGTACATGACTGCTGTGTCAATAGGGATGGAAAAGAGCTCAGACATGCCGTCCTCTTCCTCTGAGAATGAAGAGTCAGCCTCCACACCTTCATCCAACCCATGCCCTCGACAAGCCTGAAGAGCAGAAAGATGGGATAATCATAAACATTCGGTTACTAGCTTTAAGAAAAATATAGTTAAAATTATGAAATAATATCAACTCAAATCAACATTTAACATCCATGCATGGACTTATTTGATGAGTAGCCATGCGATAAACAGAGGGAAACCCAAAAAAATGCTGTATATTTCGTATTTCCCTTAGTAAAATTCAAAACGCAACATTTTTAGGCTTTAAAAGGTTGAGCAGTACCAGAGAGTCAAAGGAATTCTAAAGTGGAATGCAATATCAACACAGCCATCGATATTTGCTGAAGTACAGTATAGGATCTTATGCAAGAATAGGAGTAAAAACGCTTTGGCTGTGAGAAAGTTTTCACAAAATGTACCTGGATCAGAAAGAGTTTGCTCTTGTCTGCCATTGATGGACCTCCAAAGTAGCTGTAGATCTCAGCCAGTTTCACAGCACGTCCATCAGCGCCAAACACAACCCCCTCCTCACCATGACTGGATATGACGCCCACAAAACAGTCTTTGACCGTCTTCTGGCTCTCTGAGGATGGAGGGCAGAGTTAGTGCGTATTCTGAATGGATTGTGTAAGTTCCATTTCTGTTGTTACCCTAAAAATCTGCAGTCATAACTGTCATTATAATATCAGGACATAATGGTAAAATCTCTTCCGTGCAAACCCATTGACTCATGGAATCAAACTCATAAAATATAAAAACATAAAATATAACTCTCATCCATACAATATATTTTTCTTTGTATAAATAAAAGAATCTAATTGTTTTTCAACTAGACTTTACAACAACAATACTGGGTTAAAAAGGTCATGTTAGAGATAAATTAGTTTGCTGATAATTTACTGTTAAACGCAGCGTTACTCTGTGTTGACGTCATTTTAACTGAAACAGGAAGACAGGGCGGGACATAGGGGCTTCGGATTCTAGAGAGCATTTGATTGGACAGAATGTTTGATGAGAAGCTGAAGTACGATGTGACGTCAAAAGAAAATCGTTGAACCGTTTTGGCGGAAGTGACGAACTGCAAGCTTTGAATGCTTATATCTTCTAAATGCGAATTTTGTCACTGTTTTGGAGCACACTACCTCAAGACTAACATATTTATACTAACACCCAAAAAACTTTCATTTTGATTTCATGGGGACTTTAAGTAATGTTTTTAGAGGAGGTCTTGTCACATAACATGAAATATCACTGCAGATATGAAACCACACATTTAGATTTTATTTATTAGGGAAAACATCAGTACATCATGATGGGCTCACATTACCTGCTTTAAATGCTTTATAGATCTCATCTGCATTCATGTCCATTCTGATGTCCACAGAGAAGCCGAGCTTGCTGAGGATTTTGTGAAGTCTTCGATTGTCTCTCTTCACGCCGTTTCTCTTGCTCAGATCTTCACCTGGATAGAAGTTCTCCACAGACACTATCAACGGCCTGTTCTTCACAGTCTTGTCAGCAGTGAAAGGAAAATTACAAAAAGACATGGTCTTCTCTTCTGTCAAACTCTGCATTTTAATGCAATCAAATCGTGTCAGAATAAGATGGATGAGTTCTCTTAGGAGTCCGTCTGCATACTTTATACTCTAGTCCAGCCCTTATTTGCATGAAGTCATTTCCCCTTTATGGAGAATGCCGCTTCTAGGCGACATCTTTGTGTCATCACCTCTTGTGATTATACAATGTCTGCCAACGTAAAAAGGGAATAAACCTTTCAGGTGTTTTTTTTTTAGGTATTTACTCTTCAGGGTAGTTTATTACTACTATTATTATTATTTTTTTTTTTGGAAATAAATCTGTTTATAGGCACACTGTAAAAAAGAGTTTTCAAAGAAAAAAATATTATTGAAGTACATTTTACAAGGAAATACATTTCAGTCTTTACTTAAAAATGTGATGTTTAATTCAATGTACTACATGCCTTTTCTTTGTAATTATTTGCGAAAACGACTAGCAGTTTCTAAGTGAACTTTGTTTCAAATCTTACACTAATTTTTTTTTTTTTTTTCAGTGTAACGTCTTGGCGACAAACAAGCTACTGAGTTCCTAAACTGGACAACTCTCTCTCTCTGTCTCTCGCGCTCGCTCTCTCTCTCTCTCTCTCTCTTTCTCTCTCTCTCTCTCTCGCTCTTTTTTTTTTCAGTGTAACGTCTTGGCGACAAACAAGCTACTGAGTTCCTAAACTGGACACGTGGTTTGGTGGCATGCATAGCCTATCTTCAGAGGAACTTTTCCTTCGATAATTTCACACTGCATTCCCCTTGTCTCATACTTCCTCTCTCTTATCAGTCTGTCTTCTTTCCTGGTAAAGAATCTAATTCCCACTGTTTGCAGGTTTCATTTAGTGTTAAAGTTGTTCTACATAATGTTCAGAACAACTTACCTCATCTGAACTAAACAATTATCAAAAGTTAGCATACAAAAATAAGCATTGGCCAACAGATATTATAATAAACAAATTGTATAAGATTTGAAACCAACCAAAGTAAAAAAAAATCAATTGTTTATAGGCAAATAGTCACAAGTTCACATGTGGTTCCAGAGAAACATTGCTTTTGATTACGTACATTGCAGCTTTCCCTGCATGTGTGCCAGACTTCCCCAGTCTGTCTAAGAAACACCCAAGTGTTTCCTGGTGTGTGAGAGTTCAATTCTTGGTTCTTCTGCCATGCATTCAAGTAGTTCAAGTTTATTATGTTTACTCATCAAGTTACTCAAAATAATGTTCAGAGCCATATTCATGCTTGTGCTCTAAAAAGTGTGAAAGTAAATTTAGTTATATTAAAGGGGTCATATGATGCTTTTTTTAAAGATCATTATTTTGTGTATTTGGTGTAACAGAATATGTTGACATGCTTTAATGTTCAAAAAACACATTATTTTTCAAATACTGTACATTATTGTAGGTCCTCTATGCCCCGCCTCTCTCAAACGCTTCGTTTTCGAAAACTTGAAATCGCATCATATGACCCCTTTAATATATATTAATGATTAATCTATTACTCAATTAAACATGTTGAAGGGATAAAGTGAGCGGTATGGAGTGACCCCGACCTGACTGGAATCTCATTTACACCCCTTTAACCCTTTTTATATTTTGACCCGGATTTTTTTTTTTTTTACAATTTTTTTTTTTTAAATTGAGTATTCATCTGAGTGGTACAAGACTTTGTGACTTTTGTTCCACTTGAATTTGGAACAGAGGCGTCATGCCCATTCAAAGTGAGGGGGCACGTGCCCCCCTCAGATTTTTGAGCCAAGTGGATTTTGAATGCAGCTTCCAAAAGACAAAAAATAGCAAAATCATATTTTATATATTTCATACAATCACACCGGCGTGATTAGAACGTGCACAGCATCAGCTGCTAAATTCAAATCTGCATTTGCGCTTTGGCTGGCTTTTTTATATTTATCGTCCTTGGTGTGAACAGCTCTTGACATTTTTATAATCGGTAGACAATGGTCAGGTTCAGGTTCAGGTTCACTTTATTTATAGGTAGACTAGGTTTGCAGTGTTATGAGTTCTCACATCTTTCACATTTTACAGACACCACAAACATTAAACAACATATATGATAAAAGTGCTTTAGGGTTCCCAGCATCACTACAAAAAACCGCCTAGACTAAAAACAATAAATTACCAAAAAATAAATAATGATGTTCCTAAGACCTATCCTTATTCAACTGAGTGATAGCTGCTGGCACAAAGCTGTTTTTATACCGCTTAGTTCTACAATACGGAAATACAAATCTACGTCTAGATGGCAGAAGTTTAAATTCATTGTTCAAAGGATGAGAGTCATAATTTAGAATTGAGTTAGTCATCCGCTGTAACTGTCTGGTATACTGCTGGACTAAGCTGTGACTCCCCAATCAGCTTACTAGACCATCTAACAATTTGACTCTTGTTACAGACAAGTTTCCAAACCAAGACGCCAGAGAAAATGTTAAGAGTGATTCAATAAAAGCACGATAAAATAACATCATCATGGTCCTGTCAATGTGAAAATGGGCCAATTTCCTTAAACAAAACAGACGCTGGTGCCCCTTTTTACACACTGCTTCACAATTTGCTTCAAAGTTCAACTTAGAGTCAATAATAGTCCCAAGGTATTTGTAAGATTGCACAGATTCTATTTTCTGACTTTTAATAGATGTAACTTCATGTGGGTGGGCTTGTTTCCTAAAATCAATAATCATATCTTTTGTCTTAGATAAGTTTAATTGGAGGTAGGACATCTCACACCACTTTATAAAGTCATCAATAATGGGGCCATGGCTGGTCTCATTGCCCTGAAGCTCACTAACAATAACAGTGTCATCTGCATACTTTAAAATAGTTCTGTTGTCCCACTTACTCTGACACATATTTGTGTAGAGAATAAATAATAGAGGTGAAAGCACAGATCCTTGTGGGGAGCCAGTAGAGGAACAAACTTCGTCATACAGGGTTCCATTCACCCTTATACTCTCTGTGTCCTATTAGTTAAGAAATCAAGAATCCAGCCCACAATATTGTTACTCAATGTAAACCGTTTTAAAAGCCTATTAATTAGAACATGGGATTGGATTGTGTTAAAAGCAGATGAAAAATCAACGAATAAAAGTCTAGCATGAGACCCATTACCCTCCAAGTGTTTAGCAAGTAAGTTCAACAACGTAACTGTGGTCATTTTATACAGTTAGCCGCTGTTACACAAAAATATTCCACAAGTAGAAAGCCAGCCTCGAGTGTATGGAAACCCGTTTCCGCCACTGAATGAAAAATAAAAACAAAGGTAATTGCGACTTTTTATCTCACAATTCTGACTTTTTTTCACAGAATTGTGAGCTATAAACTCGCAACTGCGAGTTATAAAGTCAGTTTATATCTCACAATTCTGAGAAAAAAAGTCAGAATTGCGAGTTTATATCTCACAATTCTGAGAAAAAAAGTCAGAATTGTGAGTTTATATCTCACAATTCTGAGAAAAAAAGTCAGAATTGTGAGTTTATATCTCACAATTCTGAGAAAAAAAGTCAGAATTGTGAGTTTATATCTCACAATTCTGAGAAAAAAAGTCAGAATTGTGAGTTTATATCTCACAATTCTGAGAAAAAAAGTCAGAATTGTGAGTTTATATCTCACAATTCTGAGAAAAAAAGTCAGAATTGTGAGTTTATATCTCACAATTCTGAGAAAAAAAGTCAGAATTGTGAGTTTATATCTCGCAGTTCTGACTTTATTTCTCAGAATTGCGAGTTTATATCTCACAATGATGACTTTAACTCGCAATTGCGAGTTTATATCTCACAATTCTGAGAAAAAAAGTCAGAATTGCGAGTTTATACCACGCAGTTCTGAGAAAAAAGTCAGAATTGTGAGATAAAAAGTCGCAATTACCTCTTTTATTTTTTACAGTGGCGGAAACGGGCGCTTCCATACGAGTGACCATGCAAGCGTTTCAGTTGTGGTCGGGTTGCAGGTTCACCTCCCGGCCTGAGCGCGGCAGCAGAGCGCGCAGTTCCCAGCAGATGAAAAAAAGTCAGAATTGTGAGATAAAAAGTCGCAATTACCTCTTTTATTTTTTATTCAGTGGTGGAAACGGGCTTCCATACGAGTGACCATGCAAGCGTTTGTTGTGGTCGGGTTGCAGGTTCACCTCCCGGCCTGAGCGCGGCAGCAGAGCGCGCAGTTCCCAGCAGATGAATTACGTCAGCTGGAGCTGGGCACGCTACTGTGTCGGTAACGTAACGTGGAAGTGGGAGAATCTAACAGAGGTAGTGGTTTACTTTTCAGTAAAACGCGTTATTCTTTATTGTATTTAATTATTATATCTGTTATGATGGCATACGGGGCGTGAACACGCTTAAAGAGACTATTTAAGCCAAAATATCTGTTAAATTAAGTTTGTTTTGGTAATGGCTAAAAGTGAAACTAAACCAGTTTCTGATTCTTATATGTACGTTAACTCTCATATCTGATACGTAATCAATTCATAAATAGTTCGTGTTTTAGAGTTTGTACGATTTCTGCTTACGGTAATGTCAATCACGTATGGGATGTAATCAGACATAGCTGTGTTTTGCAAAGTGTATGGGTCAAGCAGCTGCTGTGAAGACATGCCTGCAAAAAAGAAAAATGCTGTTCCTGACAGGTTAGTTTTTATAATTTTCATAAGGTTCATTAACTGAAGTTAAGCTTCAAGGATTGTTTGCTAAAGTTGTGTGTCTCCTTCAGATGGACAGACTATACAGCAGTGGGTAAACGGATCCCTGGAACTCGCTTCATCGCCTTTAAAGTCCCCTTAAAACCGGTTTGAAGACATTGACAAATCCTCCACCTGTTTGAAATGTGCCTGAGAGCTTAGATTTAATTCCAGTGCTTTCTGTTGTAGTCTTTCAGATATCATTTAACGCAATCAGAAGCCTTTGGACCGTTTGATCTTGTGCATATGTTGGAGAAGGAAGAACAAGAACTGGGTCTCATCATTGATCTGACCTTCACAACTCGCTATTACAAAGTAGAGGTAGG